AACAGAGTCTGAAGAACCTTTGGTGGTCGAATGAGGAAGACGTGATTCTACGTAGAACTGGTAAAAAAAACGTTTCCTCACAGAGCCACACATTGCTGGTCACAGGGGCGGATTTAGCCAATACTAGGCGGATGTCTGGGGCCAAAATTTCCTGAGCTAACAGGCTAACGTTAGCCCGTCCGCAGCAGCCAGGGCCAACGTTAGCCCGTCCGCAGCAGCCAGGGCCAACGTTAGCCCGTCCGCAGCAGCCAGGGCCAACGTTAGCCCGTCCGCAGCAGCCAGGGCTAACGTTAGCCCGTCCGCAGCAGCCAGGGCCAACGTTAGCCCGTCCGCAGCAGCCAGGGCTAACGTTAGCTCGTCCGCAGCAGCCAGGGCTAACGTTAGCCCGTCCGTAGCAACTAGTTTGACACCTGTTATCTAGAGACTATTAATAACAGCTCCAGACTAGCTTTGAATGTGGTGATGTCATCAGTACGCTTCTGTTCTAATTGACCCAGATCTATGTTGCGTGCTCCCGTTCTCCCCGAGTCTGTACGGCGTTCTTGTGAATTTAGAAATGGCCACCATCTCTTTGTAAACATCAGATATCCTGATATGTATATTATTTATAGCAGGAGAACTCATCATTGGGATAAACACATATGACACGTTCAGGTAAAACCTGCAGTAATTATTATTTAGATGAACATCAGGGAATTTATTTTCTTATTTTTAATGGGAGATGCTGAGGAACAGGACGGGCCTTCAGTGGTTTGTGTTTTGATGATTTTTAAAGAGCAGAAAGGAAGCGATTGTTTCTGCATTAAAAATAAATGTCATAGTTTAGTCTGGATCGAGGAGGGGGGGCGTGAAGATCAGCGACAGAGATTATTCATCATTAATCCAGTTAAATATTATCTGCTTCTGAAGCTTAACGCTGCAAGGTTTTAAGGGGAAAGAACTATATTTAAGATTAATCTCATGCTTCTCCTGTTAACTGACCTTTTCCTTCCTTCATTTTCACATCGTTTAAAAAAAAAAAAAAATGTAAAAAATAAATATGGTTAATTTTACCTCAATCATTTTGACGGCTCTATTAGTTGCATTGTAATTTCTTCCCGCAGTTGATTGACGTTTGGTATTGTTGCCTAGCAACCAACATCCTTTTAGAGG